TAGTGACTTCAGACCAATCAACATGTTACCGATATACGAAAAAGTACTGAACATCTAAAAAGTAAGAACATCTAGAAGCAAATAACATAATCACGAAACATCAGTCGGCATTTCGGAAGAAGCACTCGTGTGAAACGGCAATACAAACCGTGGTTGATGAATGGAAATCAAATATCAGTTAAGGGAAAGTAGTGGGAGTAATCTTCATGGATTTGAAACGAGCGTTTGAAACTGTGGACAGAGAGCTGTTATTGGAAAAACTAGTGCAATATGGAATAAAGGGAAAAGTATGGGAATGGTTTAGATCGTACTTAAGCAATAGGACTCAGCAAATTAGGTTTAATGGGGAATTTTCAAATATTATAGAAACAAAATACGGAGTACCACAGGGATCGGTGTTAGGGCCACTGCTGTTCGTTATATATATATAAATGATATAGTCGACCTGTGCCCAGAAAAAGGTACAATAAAAATGTTTGCAGATGATACTGTAATATATGTGACAGGAGAAAGCAGCGCAGAACTGGAAAGGAAAATGAATAAGCTATTAAATATAGTAGAAAAGTGGATGCATAGAAACAAATTAAAAATGAACGCAGATAAAACAAAATACATGATTGTTAAAAGTGTGAGAAAAGAAATGAAAGGAAATATTGTACTTAAGTGTCTGGACGGAACGGAACTAGAACGAGTGGAAACGATGAAATATTTAGGTATTATTATTGATGACAAGTTACAATTTAAAGACCATTGTAAATATATATTGAAAAAAATAGGTAAAAAAACGAGTTTCCTAAACAGAATGGGGCACTACGTATCGGCGTTTACCAGATGTATTATATATAAAATAATCATAGCACCACACTTCGAATAGTGTGGAACACTGCTAATGTGTATGGGTGAAACCGAAGTAAATAAACTGCAGATCGCGCAGAATAGAGCGATGCGGGTCATACTGCAATGCAGCCGCTACACAAAAGTGGATGATATGCTGACAGCGGTACAGTTTATGTCCATAAGGCAAAGACTTTATTATAATGTATGTGTATTCATCTTTAAAGCTGTCAATAATCTACTACCAAAGGATTTAAAGAATAGGCTACAAATAATAGGAATGAGGGGGGGTAGAGAAACACGACAAGCTGGAAATATAGTTATACAATTTAGGAGAACAAGAAACGCACAAAAGAGTATGTATTACGAAGGAGTACAAATGTATAACGCATTACCAAATGAAGTTAAAAAGTGCATCTGCTCTCATTATTAATTCGAAGATCGCACTGGCAAAATACATTCCATAACTTGAAACCGGAACACAATTAATATTGTTAGAAAAGCTAGAAGAAAATTTTTACCTTTCGACTGCCGCTAATTTTTTTATACAAATAGTGGCCTTTTTTATTAAATATTTATGCATGATAATAATACATGAGTGGCTCACAATCTTGAAATTATTCATAGCCCCAAAAGAAGCTTTTGCGGCAGTGTAAAGGTTAAAGAATCTTGTCTTTATACGGGATGGATAAAAAATATTCAAATACTGCATTACTTTCAAGGCGAAAACAAAAGACAAGTCAATGATATAGCATATCCATCATAGAATTCTCTCTAAATATTAAGGAAGAATATTATTGAAAAATTATAATGGAAACTATACAGAATCTTACTGATCCGCTAGTTACAAACTATATTCTCCGAATGTGAAGAGAGGATAAGGCATGCTTTGTACAACATGTCATTATCGAATATAAATAATTAAGTACAATTCATATACGATATAAAAAATCCTGACCACGGTTTAATTTACCACTTTACCTGCTTACAAATTCAAAATTCTATGGATGAGCGTAAATATAGTATAATAGGTTCACGAGTTTAATGTATTTTCTCTATAGTTGGCAAACAATTCAATCCTTAGTAAATCACATATAGCTTTCCATCAAATTATGGAAATATATGCTAAACTGGGAATATTAAATATATTTCAGATCAGAACCACACACATGTATACTTCGTAAGAAAAATTAATGCCGAACCAGATGTGGCTTGTTATAGATTTCATTATTTTCGATCTGTCAAACAAATACATTGAATTCGTGAATCGAATATATATAAGAAATTATATTATAAAAAATATAACTACTGAATGAAATTTTAGCATCCAGGACTTGAAGAACAGATTAAGGGAAATTTTAATATAAACATTTATTGATAAAATTTGATGATAAATTCACTTTCCTCAAAAAAATTGAGTTTGAGTACTGATATACATTTATCTCTTTGGCATTCATGATTTCTTTTATCCGCCGTTTTGAATGCGCTCCCTGGGCTGCGTTCAGAAATTTTACTCAGGGTTATTCGGGTACATTGCGTCTCTTTTTATTATCGTTATTATGAAGAGAATGGAATGATACTAGAGTACACTCTAGAGAGGTTTCTGAACGTACCCCTGAATGTATTTGAACACATTAACATAGGCGTATTTTGTAGCCGAACCGTCGCACGTGAGGCGACCACTAATGGCAATGTTATTGCAAAATTGATATTAAACAATCAGACAGCTATATAACTGCATGGGTTATTCAATATAATATATGGAGTTTAAATGACGAAGTGTGCTAAATATATGTATATAAGCGAATATATATAGGTATAAAAAATAAGACATGAAACACATACGTAAAAGTAACTTTCCCTAAAATCAGTCGTTTATTTTCTTAACGCAGCGACGCCATAGCGATGCGACGCGATGTCATAGAAAGAGACACCATCTATATGGGTCTGTGAGGCCTGACCAGATAGCTATAGGCTTAGACCATGTATTTAAAATATTATGGATTTATCTGGATATTATAATATTTTAAGACCATTTTAGAAGGGGTATTTGTAAATAAAATGTCCACATTTGAAAATGCTCCGGGCCTCTGTGAGCCAACGTAGACGGCGCCGGATTAACTGCGAAGCTGATATTATTATCGATTAATAAAAGGTGGACAGGCGCGTCTTGTAAATTTTTCCCTAAACCCTCGTCCCATAATGATGTAGGGAATTTTATGTGAAGATGGACTATTGATGAAATAATGAAACGAAGCTGTCGCTAAATGGGCTTTCAATAATTTATAAATCTTTACTAATAACATTATACAAATCATTTTGCTTATCACCGCGTAACTCGGTTTAATCCTTGCTACTACTTACAATATTGATTCACAAAATTATTAATGGCATCTTGTGTGACATATTAAAAAATGTAATACAGTCAGGTTTCTACGAAATGAAACTATATTTTATGGTAATATTAAATTATTCTTGTTTAGTGTGCATAAACGGATTCGAGTGTGACTCAACAAGATGCATTCCCGTCGATTGGCGCTGCGATGGTCATGTTGATTGTGCCGATCAAAGTGATGAGATTGGATGTGGCGAGTGTGAGTCTTCTCAAACAGCATCGCCGAATGGTAAAAAGGGCAAGAAGAACGTTAATAAGAATTCCTTAACCAAACCAACGCTGCATTGTGGCGAACGCAGATGCATGTCTTCTTCTCACGTTTGTGACGGTGTAATGGATTGTCCCTGGGGTCAAGACGAGCGCAATTGTTGTAAGTTGTTTGTGAATACGATACTTACTTTATAATTTACATATTTACAATTTAGTTTATTACGATCCATTTATTTATACAATACAATATATTAGGACCTACTCTACCTCTGATTCATGTTCATAGTGAAGCTTAGCGAGAGAAATGGAGACATCGGGAGAGGAAGCCTCGAAGTGTATCATGCAGAAAAGGGAAAATTTTTGCCAGCTTGTATTACTCACTGGGAATCGACCTTAGCGCATACTGTCTGTTCCCTTCTGGGTTACAGGTAAATTTGTTTTATTGTGTGTGCAATTTGTAATATTAATTTTACGCGTAAACATTGATTTCTTTAGTTATTAAGTTATTCGGTAATTTCTTAACTCCTCTATATAAAACTTTTCGTCTTGTAGGATTGCAGACTCATCGTCGCTCTGGACACGGGCCAGCAATGGTACTGTTGTAGAATCGCAGGTCGAGACTTCGCAGCAATGGAGACTGGCACAAAAATCACAAATCAATCTGTTGAAGGAATTCCAGGAATGTGAGGATCCGACAGAACACTCGACAGTCGAACTAACTTGTTCCGAATACTGTGAGTTGCCAAAAACCAATACTTTAATCGAAATTTCAACGCCGTTTCCTTAATAACGAAAAGGCCCCGGTCGGTCTGAGACCAGGCATCCTGAATAATGGAAATCTTACTATTCTCCAGCGTAGCGCGCATCAATCCGCCAGACTAGTAAACTGCAGTGGCAGACAAAAGTATGGGCACAGTGGTGCCATCAGAATTGAAATAATTCTAGTAACAATGAATTTGTTCTCATCGGAGAAGAATACTTTGTCCCAAAATTCGACATTCTTGTGAACAAATTGATATGCAAATTCCATTCGCTTTTTTTTAATAGCTTTGCTTATAAATCCCTTCTTTCTTGCAACTCTAGCATTATACCCAGCATTATTTAGCACCCTGCGGACTGTAACAGAATGGGCATATGTACCAAGATCTTTTAATATCGTTGCTATCTCCGTTGAAGGTGTTTTAGGGTTTTGCTTTGTGATATTTACCACTTTTCTTTTTTTTTCCATTCGAAAAGCTTAAAGCTTTGCGGACGATTTTCAATATTTTCTTTATCTTTATATCGTTCAATGATACTTCGCACAGAAAAATGACTTCTGTTAACAGCGTTTGCAATTTCTCCATATGATTTATTTTGATTCCGTAAGTTTAATATGATTTTTCGCTCAGAGATAGTGGTTTCTTGTTCTTTTTGTCCCATTACTACGTTTCAACTACGTTTCAATTTACTTAAACCTTACTGCGAATTTAGTTTTTATCGCGAAAACGCAGGGACTCCCCTCTACTTACTTATACTTCACTAGCAACAAAAGGCAGTGGCATAAAATGTTTGAAAAACTGTAAATTTAAGTCATGTGCTATACCTTATTTTCGCGTCAAAATAGACAGTCAAAGAAACAATTTTTTCTGCTATTGAATTGTTTGCAATCGATTTCGTTTTAGTAAGATGAAGAATGATATATGTGAGTATTATTACGTTGAATAAAGCAGATCTATTTCGGTCCTGATGGACCATCGTGCCCATACTTTTGTTCGTCACTGTATATCACGACTTATACCCGTATTCATAGTCTGTCCTTAACTCAAGGATGAAGGACGCCTTGATGAAGGCTCCCTTCAATCTTCAAGCCGTCCTTGTTTTATAGTCACACCTCAGCTCTCCCTTCCAGAAGGACGGTATATTTTAGGAACATGTAAAAAACAGGCCGCCACCTCAGTCTCTCTTTGTCTATTCGAGCGGCATTTTTTCAAAGAGTTTGAAATAGGGATCGCGTAGTCTATACTATAAGCCAAGCCAAGATACACCTTAAGATTTCTTTCCAGGTGTTGACTTTACGCAGCCCAGGTTAAATTAAGAAAAAACAACAATGCGTATTTCTTTTACGTTTCGACCCTTATTGGGATCATCTTCAGAAAGGTTTTATTACATGATAAACATGTATGAAGTGTTCAACAATCATTGGTTAGATTGTGTAAAAAATAGTAGGCCAAACCAACAAGAGTTTGTGTGTTACATGAAAAGGCAAGATTAGCCAAAAGTTAAAAAGAGCCATAGCTGATCTATTAACTATGGCTTTAGGTTTGGCCTACTATTTTTTACACAATCTAACCAATGATTGTTCAACAGTTCATACATGTTTACTTAGTAATAAAACATTTCTGAAGATGACCCCAATGCGGGTCGAAACGTAAAAGAAATACGCATTGTCTTTTTTTCATAATTTTACCTGGACTGCGTAAGGTCAACACCTGGAAAGAAAACTGATGATTAAAACCAGCCGACAATTTCAATAACTGATAAGATACATCTTTGCTGCCTGAGCTGGGCTAGCTGATAACTCGGGCTGCTTGTGGCGCTAGACATATCAAACGAAATAGCCAATCACAGTGCAGAAGGTATCCTCAAGGAAGCTCGAGACCTCCTTTGAAATAAGGAGACCAATAAGGCTCCTTGTTCTGTAAAGGAAGGTCTATGAAACGCGAAACGAGGAACAAGGGATCCTTATTCCTCAAGGAACGACTATGAATACGGCTATTACTCTTTTCCGACTGTAGAAGCCTATCTGGGCCCAAACTGGGCACTGAACATTATCCCAAGATATGAATCTAAGCTCATGTCAGACAATTTCTGGATAGGACCTCTCTAGTGTCCAGGGTAGAATTTTTATGTGTGTGTATTGGCTGTGAATATAATAAAGCGTAAAAGAATTTAATCTCGTCCAACGCATGTGTCGAACTGGTAAATACCAATAAATGCAAATCAATATTCAAGCATAAACTTTTTAAATATAATACAAAACATTTTCATTAAAGATTAAGTATTATTGAAACGGAAACGAGTTCATTCGCTCTATGTTCATTACATTCAGTCTGTTATATGTGGATTAAGCCATATGCAACATTAAAATAATATTTTCAAAGGAATTCTGAAAAAATTAAGGTTTTCATATATGTATTGTGACGTGAATTTTTGACAATCCACGCCACAAACGACCTGCAAGACTAGGGCTGTAGGGATTAACTGATTAACGCTCCAAACGTCAGTCCTAGGTTAAGGCACACAGATTCCTTACTATTAAGTAACCCGCCTATCGTCCGCTTTAATGTTTCTTTGCTTGGTTT